TTGAGTATGGTGATTAACCGGATGCTTGAACGCACACGAGTTAAAAACGTGGATATTACAAGACAGCCCATCGCTTTAATTGCAAATAATTATTTGAGTCTGTGTGTTGGATTGGAATTTGGTAAATTGAGTTGCCGTTTTACTCCAGTAAATCGCTATTAATCATTTGATGAAATGCATGCAAATTTGTGCTTTTTTAATTGAGAATACAAAAAAAAGCATTAAGGATATTTGACACATGAGCCACACAGCACAAGTTGATGGGGAATGTCAGAATCTGGCTGTTTGGGTGTGTATTTTACCTAGATTGTAAGCCTGGGATTAAAATGCACTTTCATCAAACAAAGACCATCTAATATGCAATAATGTTTCCATGTGCTTAACTACGAAACCAGGCGTCCTATTTTCATTTATTGGAAAGTACAGATAATCACCCTGCATCCGAGCTTTGATCTAATTCCATTTACTTCTGGCATTCCACGACGTCGCTAACTATTGACTTCAGTCACCAGGCATTAGTTTTGTGAGCTAATTCAACTAATCGGCAGTTTTCGGCCATCTCACAGTCACCTTGTTTATGCTACTACAAAGCATTACTACAGTACCTGGGGGTTTACGCCAAAATTTGATAGATTAGAATTACACGCAGTTCGATCTATGGGAATCAAGTGCGAATGCGACGAAGGATAAACAGAAATGGAAGTACTTTTGTTTCGGCATCTCAGATAGACATGAGTAATTAAAAATTGAAGACATGTGAACTAATTTATTTAATGTGACGGGTCAATTAATTGCTGACATATTAATGACATCTCTTCATGCTCGAATCCTGGGAAATCTAAATTCGAATATTATAATTAAGAGTGTTTGAAACGTTACTGATGTTTTAGGGCTCTGTTAGTTTTACTTTGATTAAAGTCTATCAGCAATCGCTCAGAAAGTGCAAGATACCTCAAAGCGTTTGCAATCGGGTAATTCCAGGCTACGTAGCAACAAAAAACTGGCATCGTTTCACTGTTTGCGAAATGCGGCAGATTTATTAAGGCAGTTCAAACACAAATGCACAAATGGTTCCTGGTGTGATAACCACCTCCACCGACGCATAACCTGACTTACCACCCTGCCTACCGGTTCTACACTTTTTAACAGTCATCTGATTAAAATCACGTACAAAAATTGTCCTTTATGCACGTATGCGTGTTACGTTTGCCCGTAACCAAGAGGGAACCACTCCAATAACGGTACCAGATCCCTTATTGACGCTAGCACCGACCTTCCCATGCTAATACAAGAACAAGGCCAGAGCTCGTATAGAGAGCTTCAATCACGTCAGCCACGTGCGGAGTGAGCTGTCAAAAGTGAAACTAATTCAAGTTAAGGTTGACCTTGACCTGATACAAGCGTCATAAAACGCATGTTAGGGAATTAGTGTAAACTGTGCCAAAATCAACGATGAGCAACCTTGAGGGATCGTGGATCCCCAGCACCCCTCCTCCTTGAAAATCTAGTAACGCGTCTTCTTTGGATTGACTTGAAGTAGTGTTGGTTTCCGCCGTTTTCGACTACTCTGCCTTGGGGGTAACGACCTGTCTGCTGCTAATTGATATCTGTTCGTTTACACTAGCGTTGTAACCGGTGTCGGCAGCTGGAACGTGTCGAAAAGTACATCCTGTGGGACGCTGGTCTGGCGATTTGGTGTCGCAATGCGAGTTCGAAACGCACATAGACGAGATTGAGAATATGCACACAAAACAGGTTAATCTGAAAAACTATGTCCTTTTTGCCGTATTTATCATTATATGCAAGAAAACACCGGTCCTTGTGGTGACTTCTTCGGTAAGATCGACTTATTTATCAGTTTACTAGCATTTTTATTTGCGACAAAGTTAAAACCTCGGGTTTGGTATTTGTGCTCGATTTTGCAGACAGGAAACAAAGCTCTTCATCAAAGCTTTCGAAAATGCTGAAATGAAAATAGCCTACTCAGGAGTCGTAACGGACGCGGATGCAACAGGAGATCCCTGCCCGACCCCTCATTTTCATTTTCTTGACCACCACGATGGGTAATCGAGCCCTCCCATATAAAAAATTGCATGTATGATTTCAGCACCCCTAGCGACGTATTGATTGATCCAAGTGACCCTGCTTGACTCGAGTTGAACATCCGATGATGCAGCAGTCCGTTAATATTTCACCAGATGCCCTAAAACATGTGTGAGAGTTCGTGTCGGTGAATCTCTTACTTCCATTCACTGATGAAAAAATGGTCTTCTTCATAAACCTTCACAGACGACGAGAGAGGTTTAAGCTACTGATGCTGCAGATACAAATTTACAAATGGTGAATTAAACTCCATTTTTTTCAGGGAGGAATTCGTGAGCAACATTCACACGTAAAGGAGTACTAAACGTCGTCTTCCGTCACTTTTAGTGTGTCGATCGCGTGATATTTCTCTGGGACTGCCTTTTATTACCTTAAGGTGCTTCAGGCAATTCCAGTAATTACAATGGCTGATAATGTCTATTCCTAAAGTACTAAACACTTTTCTTAGTACATCTCTATATCTTCCTTTTCAACACTGGAGAACATGAATTAATTTCCAGATTTAGGTTGAAGTAGTGCTAATCACTTTAATCACAAACACATTCGATGTCCATATTCTCGTTAAATAAAGAAAACTTGAATTTATAAAAGTAAGAAATTTTTTCCAGCTTCATCAACAGTATATATTTTAAGTTGTCATTATTCCAAAAGCTTTAGGTATGGATGAAACCACTGAGGAACAATAAAATCCCCGAATATAAAGGCTCGAGATGGCGAGGAAACATCTATTCATTTACCAACTAAGCAAGTTTGTGCAGTTGTTGGATTATGTGCAAAGACGATGTTGGTATTACCGTCAATGAGACAAAGTCAATTAAAGGACCGAATCATGGCTGATGAATGGTACACATGATCACTAACAGATACTTTGTTATTAGCGCCGGTCAGTAGGGTGTTAGTTATTGACTTTAAAATAAGTAACAACGAGGCTTGTGTTGAGGACAGATAGCCGCAAGGTAATCAGTAAGGAAAGAATGCCTCAACAGGTCATATCTATCAGCAAGCATAGATCTGCCCACATGTTTCGGAGGTGCTCTTTTACGCTTTGCCCGTAACTAAGACTACTCACTCAGGTAACCGGTACCGCAGACACCTTGTCAGACGCCAGATCCCCATCCTCCTAGCCCAGGACAAGACAGAACCCCGAGCAGAGAACTTTTAATTACTCAGCCAAAGGCCGAGTGACCTGAATGTGCCCATTTATATAAGTCATGGATGACCTTGACCTGATGGTTCAAGACGGATTAAAACCGACGGGGAACAGCGACGGTTGGGTGGCCTAAACCAAAAGGGGCAAGATTAAAAATAGGGTGGAGGTAAGAGGTTGATTAATGACGTGGTTGTGGATGGGAAATAAAAGTACACAGGGTGTATTGGATGTGCGTAGGCGGGGTTGTCTCACGTGAATTCACTGAACTTGCCTCAGTCGCAAAATCACAACTAAGTTTTATAACGGTACTGCAGCAGTGATCTAAAATCAGTTGAGGGAAATTGAACTAACAAATAGATGCAAGTAAATGCTACCTGTCCTTGCCAAATAGGTTTTTCGAGCTCCGGTGAAAGCTGGTCTCTCGCAAAGATTGTCAGTTTAGCAGCTAAATTCAGGGTATCGTACAAAGCTACAGGCAATAATAACAGCGATACGGAAACTCTCTAATTATAAAGAATTAAACTCTGATTAATTGAATGAGTAGTAAGGTGATCGAAGCTCTAGAATTTTTTGTTAGCTGTTACAGGTTACTGATAAACGAAACCTCCATTTTGCTAGACGCAGCATCACATGTTATTGCGCTGTCGACATACTGTTCATTTCTCTCTTTAAGCCGCACCCTTTCACATATACGGCCCTTGCGAGTGAAAAAAATCGGGTTCGAGCCTCATCACGCCTAGCGTGGTAACATGAAAGTTGCTGGTGGCCCACAACGTAGAGAATTCAAAGTTTTCCCTCTCGTGATGTTGCTAACCGCATAAAAACCTCTCAATAGATGGAACTCGTGGTGTAAACCTGATTTCAAACAACGTAAAAAAGCATTTCGCTGTAATTGTCAGCTCCCTTAATTGAAAGACTGATGTCTAAAGGGCCTATAGTTTAACCTTCTGCTCAAGGCAGTCTACAAACCTTCTCGAAGGTAGCCCCTAGAAACTGAGCATGAGGGATGGTAGGCGCAAAACGTCCATTACACTGCTAAATGCTACCAAGCTCGTTTACCAAATATCAGACGTCCCGCCGTCCCTTTTAACTGATGCTTCCCCTTAAACTGTGGTTGAGGTTTAGCAACTAACTGCAAATGGATCATTACAAATTTTGCCTATTTCTCAGCAAGGTTTAACTAGGACCATAGTGCCTTCGATTGCGAACTTCTGATCGTTTAATTTGCTGCCACACACTTTAGACGTTGCCTTGAAGGTCGGCAGTTAAGAATCTATTCTAACTACAAACCGCTGACTTTCACCAAATGTTGGAGGTTTGACAGATTCTTCCAAGAGAATCACGAAACCTGTCTTGTATTCTATGATCTTCAAGTAATTTTTGCCACATTAACGTTGATGATCTAACGCAAGACAACAGGACAACAACAAGAAGACCTCCTAAAGATAGTTTTTACCGTCTTAGCCAAAGGCCGACTAACATATCTAAATGTTTTGAATGGCCTTGGCCACAACTGAGGCTGAACGGGAGTGATGAACGCTGATGGGCTGTCCGTGAGTGACCAAATGGAATATTGTGATCTGGAGAAGTGGTCAATGGTCACAAAATCACAATGATGCTGACTTCCTCAAAACCTCACTCACTTCAAAAACGAATTGGGTTTATTTTTCGGGTAGGAGTGAAGTAGTGTCCATTGCTGGCATTTTCGGCCACTCCATCTTGGAAGTGTAGACCGTCTCACTAATATTTAGTATGTGTCCACTTTTTTTGGTAAGGCCTCTTCCATCGATGTTGACAATTGAACTTTGTCAGAGACCAAGTCCGGCAGAACAATTCTCTGCCTTGTCTTCGGTGGAGTTGGCTTCGATGCCTCATCTGGATTTCCTAACTCGTCGTCACATCGACGACCTTACTGTGACGGCGTACGATTTACGGATTACGTCCAAGTCGGTGCTCCCATCTCAAATAGACCGCCGGTTCCCCGTGGAGGCTCCAGGCGCTTGCATTGTATTGGAGACTGCAACTTGCTCACGTTAGGAGAACCATTTAGTTAGGTCGGTGATTTGTTGGTTAAGTTGCCAGTTTTAGTCAAAGCGGCGGACAATAAAATTTCATCCAGTCGACGCCGTCGTGCCAAAAGGAAGTAATCATACAACCCGCAAAAGAAGGGATGTGAGCACTACAACGCATTTCCGGATCATTAAACAGCTGTTTGCAAAGTTTCGAGTCAATTACTTTGTGAGACCCCCCCCCCCAATTAAGGGTGAAACATTCTAGATGTCATCATTCTGAGAAAGTTAGGCGATCGTTCGAATGCTACTGGCTCCTTGGTGCTGGATGGGAGCGCGGAATTGACTTAATTTGAAGTGTTTCTCGATCTGTATTGATGGTGTATGGAACTCCAAACAAGGCACAATATGCTCAGATAAACGTTTATACTACTGTATTGGTGAAGGTATCATGCTTGGATACGCATCATGCCGCCGGCAAACGGTCAACAGAGGTGAATAGATTCCAGGAACTGCCAGATCGTGGCAAAGATCCTGAACAATTAATGTAAAGATGACCAAACCGCGCCATGGATGTTTTGCTACTTTGACCAGTCTTGGTATATTTGGTCAAAGTAGGTCACACACAACATTCTAATATCAGCCTTCTTGACAAGGTTGGAAAGACCTTGAAGCGTCTGGAACATTTGGTGCCTTTAGAGCCCCAGCACAAGGGAGCTTTGCACACTGGCTGAGATGCTGCAGATAATTGGACTAGTGGGAGTATGGAATTGGAAATACCACCAACTCTGAAATCGATTTTTGTCTCTGAAACTCTTGCAGATCGGCTTCAGATTGCTGATAAATCGCCATACCCTCAAAATCAACCCGAAAAGTGGATCTGCCATCATCATCTATCGTGTTCAGGTTTTTGGGACTGCTTTTAAAGAGACGGATCACAATATCTGAAAACTAGCATGCTTCAAACCAGTACCTAGAAACTTAACCTCTGGATCTAAAAACGGGTCCCAAGCACGTAATTTCAGAACTACTTCCTATTTGAAGAGCAGGCTACAAAATATCGTCTAGACGAATGATATGGGCAGCTTTAATGAGTACACTGACACCGAGCAAAGAATTCCCTTAAACTCACAAAAAGTGTACGTCTGACAGGCATCTATTGACGCATCTACAATGCAACCCTCTTGCACTAAGTCTCACATTGCAAGCTTGAAATGTTAAGCATCTGGAATCGAAATAGCCTAAATTTGGCAAAATATTCAATAGAAACAATGTTATTTATTTGGGCAAAATATCTACAAAAGGAGAAGTGAGGACAGCTTCGTTTTATTATGTATTGGTCCCCTTCTCACCGTACAGAAAACGGCGAAACGTTGAACGCAGCGACCTATCCGAAGGAGAATCTGAGCGCTTTACTGAAAGGCATACCATTGATTTTGTAAATGACCAGAAGACAATAAGTGGAGGCCTAACGATGTTACAACGAATGAACAAATTGAAAACGGCAGTGAACTCAGTTATGTCAGTGTTAAACTCATTATCTCGCATAAATTAAAGTGTAAATGAACATGGTTACGTAAAAACTACACTGAGTGATAATGTAACTTGGTCACTAATTTGATAACTTAAATTTATGGAGGAAGTTAACCTATTATTGACACTCAAAACTGAAAACAATTGCTTTCAGATAGAGACAACACATGAAAACCCACTTTACTCGTCAGTGAGCGTCAAGTAGACACTGGAAGTTCATCTCTGTGGTAGTAATCCAAGAAAACTATGGACAAATTGCACACACACACAGGTTGTTCATGCCGATCAAATATTCGTTGAACATTCAAGCGCATTTCAAAACATTTTAAGAATCAGATTCATAAACTACCCCACATTAAATGGGACAGAAACCGATTGGCCATAACAAAAAGTGAGAATCAGCAGAAAACCTACCCGATTGGGGATGTTTAGTTTTTGAATCAAGGTGATTGAGCAGATCTTTTGCGAAGGCGACCTTTTTGGGCACCGATACTGCTGCTCTCTCAGCTGTATGCTCTATTTTCATTTGCTTCTTAATTGCTTCGTCTAGCGTCAATCCGATCCATTCTGCCTCTTCAAGCTAAGTAAATAAATTGTGCAAAAAAAGAGACGATTCATCAATAGCAACACAAACAAGGTAAATCTAGGTAGACATAAATTTGATGTATCCATCGGAAAGAACCATAAACCGAAGGTAAAGAAAATTTTGATGCGGTCTTGGCCACCTGTCTAAAATACTTGAGGTCACATTGGCAAAGAAAGAATACTAACCAACTAAGACAGCGGGGAATATCAACAAACAATATAAGCCATCAAAAAGTATTACTGAAGCTCTACATTCAAGATAAACAGGTATTTCTAAAGGAAAAAAGGCATCACGGGCAAATAGACAGGTGCATGAATCCATTTCAAAGCACAAGGGCTCAGGACTACCCAAACGCCACCATAAAATAAATCAGGCAAAAGCAACAGATGTATATCTAAATGGCCTTGCCAAAGTGCTACAGGAGTGAGGGTGACAAGTACAATTTAACAAACAATGCAAAAAAGAAAACAGCACGACAAAAAGGATGCAGTTGTCTGCATAGTATACACATAAATTTATTTGACATCCCGAAACTCAAAACAGGAAAGGAGTATAAAATTTTACACACTTACGGGAACAATAAATTTAGCATATTTGGACGTAATATTGGGCTTCCTTTCTTGGAAGTCTGAATTAGCCAGTGTCATTAGAAGCTCTCGCTTAATATGCATCCCAAGTCGACTATTGATCTCGTTTTCTGGAGTCTTCAAAATAATGAATTAAGCTTAATACCGTTAAGAGATAACCATCGAGGCCCTTTAATTTTTCAATTTGTTTTAGCGCAGTTAGGGACACTATAATCATTAACCAGCGGTCAAGTATTTCACTGTAGAATACATGCTGTCGCAGCTCGGGAGCCCATGTTTTTGGAACTCTAAGACAAAGTTGTACAATCGGAAAATACTACTTAGTGCGGGTCCTTTTCAGCTCATCGAAGCCTGTTACGATTCCCTCGCCACCCCAAAGTGCTCGTTGCGATTCCTCTGGATAAATGACTTTAGGAGGACTTTCAAAGTATTCTTTTGGATAGCTATATAATTTCGATATATGCGTTCAAAAGTAAAACTGACAAATTATTGTCGACCGCTTTTATATACTTATTGTTGCTGTCTTCAAAGTATGATATTTTTGCATTCTGAGCATACTTCTCTAAATACCTCTTTTTGTAATGCTCTGGCAGTCGCTGTATAACGCCACGTGCATGGGGATAAAAGAGAAAACGAGACATTTCAGCGCGGACAACTGAAGTCAAATGTGTCCGACTAGGTTGGTTTAATGTAAACTTTGATTCTAAGCCCGCAGCAGCAGCAGCATCATATTTCAATTTTCTGTGCAAGTTATCTAAGATAAAAGAGCGTACATGCAAGCATACAAGAAATTTCGCAAAACAAAAAAAATTACAAAATAAAATGCAAAAATATGCAAAAGAGGTTAAACATTTACCGTTGTTATAATTCGAGTGCAGAAAGAAAGTGAATTTTCACTTCCCTTTTATTCCTTTCGATAAAGGTAAGACTAATTACTTCATCATTATCTGCAACATTATAGTATATGTTCCCATTTTGAAGCTAAAAATCAGTGCTTGTATCTGAAACTGTAATAATTTTAGAACAAAGAAAACGGTTGAAGAAAATTGTTACATTATACGATGTCAAATAATGACTCTCTAAACTCTCCAAATTTTAATCAAACTTATGCACTTAAAATCCTCCTAACATTGCATGCACTCAATACAATGCAAACAGGATGTAAAAATAAGCGAAAGGCTTTTTTAAATTATAACATAGGTGTTCAGATTTTAGAACGCTAATTTTCCAAAGAGCAACTGTAACATTTATTAACCCCAATTTTTATTTTAAGACTGTTGTGGGATCCTCTAAAGTGGCCTCAAACAAAGCCGGGCCACTTATTTAGCCTTGGCCCGATCACTCTTCTCTGCTACCTGCGTTGAAGAAAAAGAACGAAGAGGTTTTGGACACAATTACTTACTTCAGAGATAAATGAAGTTAGTGATGTTGTGTCCTGTGTCTCGTTTGCGTGTAATCTAGGTGTGAGGTTAGTCTAGACAATCGTTCGCACTAATGAGGGGCAGTTGAGGAACAGAGGCTGTCGAAATGCTTATAAAGGGGACCCCGAATGGGAGGATGGAGAGACTGGATAATTGCATATGCGTTAAACGATTTACAAAAGAAAACAATATATGTTAAATCTGATCATAATTTTTAGGTGAAAATTTTCGAATTTTGAATAATTAAGAAGTCCTCATTTTGAGAATAAAATATAAGAGCCATAATTTTTAATAATAATGCTCCAGTAACCTTCTACAATCAACTATTGTAATAACAAAATCGGATATTGCAAGAATGTTGATCGTTTGCCCGTTTTCATGGTATATATTGGATGGTAAATTTTGAAGAATTATTGACCTAAAGTCAGTCGGATGACATTATCGTTTTATCCTTCCATTAATGATCAAGAACGATCGAACAAGCATTTTTTGGTGTTAACATACAATTTATATGATTTTTTGCAAATATAACACCTAGAGTTTCTACTTTTGTTAAATGCATCATTCTTTGTTTTAGTTTGTGGAGGTACGTCCGACTTTTCGAAATGATCTGGCGACGTTAATAAGTTATTAAATATTGTTCTAATGTCGTATCCACCAAGTGCTCAGAATACTCCGGCGAAGTTGAGGAATCGTACATCTAGCACGAGCAATGACCAGTGTGTCATTGTTTTTCGGGAGACTAGTAAGGCAAGTGCCGTTGTTTTCTTCAAATTGTTGCCGTATTTTCCCCTTCCGTAAGCTAAATAAGACTGCTATGCATGATAACCAAATAAAAGCCCTTTTTGGTGTGCTGTGTTATTGAGCCAAGAACTAATTTAGTCATGATTAGGCGATTTTGTGTCCCTGAATGGACGTTTTTTGTTATTTGTAATCTTCTCTTCAAAAATCGTAAAAAAGACTAATTACGAAATGTCTTCGAAGCTAATTTTGGTAATTTTTTTCTATTTTAGTTTGCTACGCATTCATGCCATTTGTGTATCATGTTCTTATCATTTACGCAATTTTAACGCACAAGTCTTTACCTAGCTATTAATGTTAGTTATAATTCGTGTACATGTGGCCATTATGATTGTTTGAATTCCTCTTATCAGTTTGCATAATTGCTGATCATAAGCTATTGGTTGTTTCCAAAATCATTTTAATATTGACACCGTTCGTTTATTCATTTATGTGTTGTGTTATCGTACTTGTTGGTGAGTAATCCTACATCATCTCATTTTATTAGTTACCAGCATCATGGCTTATAACTAGTCTAATGAGAACTGAAAGCTACCATGTACGGTCTTCCATATTTCCTGAACTCCAGAACGTGTCCCCATAATTTTGTAGTCTGTTGTTTTTGGTAAACCCTTGATAGTTGTCATTAAATTATTAATACATTTTGATCAATAGATCAATGTATTTAACTCTCCACAAAATCTCGTTTTGGTATGTTAGGTTCTTTTGATGTCTTTTCTGCTTTAGTCAACGGATTCTTCGTCGCCATTTAGCGTCGAGTCTATATGTACGTTGTTCTTTTTTGCATCATTCCTTTTTAGCCAATGTGGACGATGCTTATCGCATATTCTTTAAACATCACACTTGCTATGATCTTGTGCCACTCAGTGCCAAACTCATTGTATTTGATGTCGCCCTAAATGTAAGTATCTGTGTTAATTTTTCACGTGACTTTTCACTTAGGTAAAGAAAGGTTTTTTCGCATTGGTCTACAATGGTGTTCGAGTGGCAATACTTTGGGATTCAGAAACCCAATGCCACGTAGGGCTTCTGACAATCACGGACTTTATTCGCATTCTGCACAAATATTATAGATCCCCAGAGACACCAATAGTAGAATTAGAGGAGCATCAGATCAAAACATGGAGGGGTATGTTTTGTCTTTGTTCCGTTCTAAGGTATACTTTGGGCCCAAATTTGTTAATTGTGTCCTGTCGTTTGCCTGTCGTTTTTTTCATTTCTCTCTGACACTTGACCGATTGTGCTTACCTCAGATTTGTGATCTTTTGACCAAACTGCATATCTTTGTATATTGTTTTTTATGCATATTTTTATATAATTTTTACTGGGACATGTGCATCTAGTTGTTTTGTTTTGTGTTTCATAAGGTCGCTGCTTTCCCTTCTTCATAGCATTTGTGATCGTAAAAGTCAAATATTTCATTAGTTCTTACGTTGTCGGGTTTGCATTACGTCTCTTGTCGTATTGTCTCAGAAAACATAAATTGTCACACAACAATCCCACATAATATCTGTGTAATTTGACTTAAGGTTACGATTTTATATTGTTTTAAATACCCATATGCGCTTACTTCTTGATAATCTACACATAAATACCATTAAAATTTTAAACGTAGCTTGTCGTAAATGTTATTTTTACATGGAGATATGACCATGCAGAGTTATAAATTTTTCTTCTGAATTATCAAGAACGTAATACTACCTCATTTGTCCAAAATCTGCTCAACCCCCAGCTTAGTCTTCTGTATTGATGTATTTTGTCGTTGGTGCTCATTAAAATCAGAGTAGTTTCAATTCTAACATTAGATTCAAGAAATGCAGTTAATTATTATGAATTTGCGCGATGCGTAAATCCTTTTCCTTAGAAAATGTATCCTCAAATAGTGTATATTGTTTTGCTTCATCCGCTTTACGTTTAACCATGCCCTGTATAGTATCGTCAAGTACTTGCTGTATGTCCTCATCAACTTTGGGCGTTTAAAAAAGCAAAGGAGTTTAATATTGAATCTCTTTGGACGCTGCTCATGATTTGGCCCAAAACTAGGCATTTGACTAGAATAATAATGAGGTCATGCATGTCAACCTAAGGTTTTGTTGAGCTTATTTAATGCTGGTTGGTTGTACGCATATGTGTACTTAACCAACGTGATTCTTCACTCATGTGTGTGTGCTTCGCGTCATTTGCACGTTTGACCCCATGTATAGCTTCATCTGGCTTAACAGAACGACCAGGCCATTTAACAAACCAATGTATCTTTCATTTTTGTCGCATAGGGTTAGCGACGAGCTAGCATTAAGCAACTTTGATCAGAACGAGCTGCAGTGTTGCTAACAGAATTTAGGTCATCCTGCATTTCTCAAATATTTCTACTGTTTCAAATTGCCTCAATATCAGCTGCGTCTGGTCAAATGTAAGACACTGTGATGTTATCACATTCTAATTTGAAAACATTTAATTAACCGTACCAAACCCTAATGCTGTAAAGTTTTGGCTGGCAGTGTGTACGACTTAAAATTGTCCTCCTTTAGCTTAATCTGGTGAAATTTTGGTTGCCCCATTGGTTTTAGAATCGTTTTTGCGCTGTTTTTTTTGGAGAGTCGGCTAACTTCCCTCTAAAGTATTAATTAACATAACACTTACGCTAATTCACTAAAGTAGATTTCACTTTTTTATGTTCCACGGTTAATTCCCAATTACTTCATTTAATACAAACAATTTTCAACCGAGAAAATATTTATTTCACACATTTGTCACATTAAGAAAACCCCACCCTTTACTGATATCTAGAGCTGGTTTGTAGTTGATACAAATTGATTTACTATATACAGACCAAGCTAAAATTTGATGGTTTAATGGTACATCCGTTAGTTTAACCAGTGTGCATCAAAATATGGGTGCCTATTAATGAACGCCCTCATATCTTCCAAATGGACAACCTCTGAACTCAGGGTAGCAGCTGTTACGACAAACACTTTTAGTGCATTTGTTGTCTTTAATTTGCTCCTAGCTTTCCCGTTATCTTTACAATGTCGGGATTTGTTGCAGTTACGCTAACGTTGGTTTCGGCCATGTATTAATTAACGCTTATACTTCTCATACCGGAATCAAGTTGTTTTTTTTGTTGATGGCAATTGCAACCGCTCATGGAATCACAAAAAAGTGTTTTAGACGATAAGGCTCGATAGATTTTTTTTTTCACTAAGTTGTTTTTGAGTGTTCTCTTAGTATTCCATAAAAGGAGTAAATTTTTCATTTTCCGATCTCAGTTTACCGTAACTCGTCCCTTGTTCCTAGTGTGTTTCGCTCTTGTTAAAACTCACGTTAACTGACCTACCTAAGCTGGGCGTTGTTCTGTTTTGGCCTCTAGAACAAATGGCGGACTACGCGCGACCCCTGGTGCACATAACCCCTGAACGGACCCTCCTGGACGCGGTTCGCATGCTCTTGGAAAACAAGGTTCACCGTCTTCCAATTATGGATCCCCAAACCGGCAATCCACTCCACATCCTCACCCACAAACGCCTTCTTAAGTATCTGCATTTTAGCGTGAGTTCGTTCAACGCCGTAATCTAGTTTACCTTGTCCGTTACTTGTGTCTGTTTGTTCGCGAAATCCCCATGCCTCTCTGTCGTAAGGTGTGCACGCAAAAATTCCTTTTCGGACCTTCGATTTGGCCCACTTGCATGACACCAACACCATCGGTGCGAACGCCATCACGCCAAATCCAGTTAGCAAATTCTTCATATGAAGAGTTGGCATTCGCAAATTGGCTACCACTCTGGCTGGTTTCCATGAGCATCCTCTCAAAACTTTCCCTTTTAAAGCCAACAGTTGTTAGCCAGATGCCCATTTCTCCGTGCATCATGTACCAGATTTTTCAGTTCCCAAAGCAACCTAAAATTTACATAGCAATTTTTCATCCGTATTTGGCTTTCCGTGCATAATCACAGGTCTATTCCCTCTAATCTCTTGATTTGTGCTTTGTGGGCGCGTGCAACACCAAAACTTTCCTCCGCGTCTTGCTAAGAATCCACTAAGTGTCTGAAATTTTACGTTTTTGTCTGGTAATTACCTGAAACGTTAATTTAGACCCAAATAAGTATTGTCTAACATCGAAATATACTATACTACGCCTGGACTTCAGTCCTTACTAGATTGAAAATCCGTGTATGCACTTGCAGACAATATGTTATTTTTAATACCAAGAACATACAAAGTGCAGTGGCTAGAGTCACTACTTCTGTAAAAGGAACAAAAACGTTCCTAACAGACACCTTTACTAACTTTTCGGTTGTTGAAGCAGAAAAACATGCTGTAATAGCACCAATAGAATTTTATTCACTTAAATTGAGGTATTTTTACTATTGGCAAATGCTGTCCACAGGCACGTGTCCCACCATCACGTCACCGTCAGCCTTAGTTGTTTACTTCAGCTATGTGAAACTTTTTTGCGCCTTTTAAGTGTTATGTATCTGGACATTATGTTGTTGCAATTCACGCTCCCCTGCCCGAACGCGTGCTATTCTTGCCCAGCGCTTGCGGATGCACGCCTGGTCGTGTCACGCCTTTGCCCACTCCTTGAATGCAAATTTCAGGATGCGTCGCTATTTAAAGAAGCAGTCTGATTAGGTTGTTCTCTGTCCACTTTTTACGCCAATGGGCAATGCAAGAGCAACAGCATCGTCTAGCTATTGTTTGTGGAACCCACAAATTTAAAAGGACACTAAGCGGAGACTTGCGATCTGGAAGAGCCTTAACCAACACCATTTTGCACATTGCGGTTGGTGTAGTTGTCTTTCGTGTTTTCGCTCGTCCTTGTCCTAAGTAGGTGCTGGTCAGCCTGTTTAAGACGTGCTTGCGCCGTCTAGTGAAGTGATGTGGTTCTTGGGCACCCTCACCAACCAAATTATCTCGCTTCAGTAAACACTTAAAAATGTAAACAAGTCGCTCGCTGTATACACCTTCGCGTGTCGGACCGAACGCTGTTGTTGGTTAAAGTTGCCTTTAAAATGCACCAAATTCATTATGCTCCATGAGAATCACGGTGCTTGGGTTCGTGTGTGCGTGCGGTCATGTGTATGCCACTGGTCTTATTTATGTTTAATCTCAAAACAACTAATGTGGAAAATGTAAGCTTCCATTTAGTCTGAGACAGCAGTGAAATCCACATGAAATCAATGGTATCCTTACATTGCAGGGCGATCCTGATGTAAGCTAATTCCAGTTAGTATTATTATTGTTAAAAATTACGCGTAAATGGAACGAGGCATGATAATAATTGAGAAATTTGTAGTCGGTTTGTCACACCTAGGCTATCCTTTGTGTAAGCGAGCAGGGAATTTAAAATTCTGGCTGTGTGACCCGATATTCGCGAAATCGTTGACTGGTACTAAACTTGTCATAAACTATGACAAATTTGTGGTTACTGAAATGATGACAGTCGTTTGTAATGTTGCTTAATTCCCTTCAGCAATTATAACTAGACATTTGGTTATTTTGTGCCACTGCTTTCTACGTGTCAGTCATACTTTAATGCTGCTGTGCACTTTCATCGGATTTTTTTTCTAGGTCGAGTCTGAACATTTTATTGCTCAATGTGTTTCATCCTCACAGTGTTCAAATCGTCTTTTGTTAATCTGGGGGAGAGTGTGTGTGTGGCTGCACGTGATACCAAGCCCTTCGCTGGGATCTGAATTCTCAGACCACGGCGTTGTTTTTAAGCCTTCGTGTCGTTGTTTATTGTCCCTAGATGCCCAAACTACCTCAACCAACTTTCATGGAGAAGCAGCTAAAGGACCTGTCAATTGGGACGATGCAGAATGTGATTTGCGTGGAGACTGACTGGCAACTTCACCGCGTTCTTGCTGCATTCATTGAAAATCGTGTCTCCGCGCTTCCCGTTGTAGACGCCGATGGATGTCTCGTTGATATCTATGCCAAATTTGACGTTATTGTAAGCTTATCGCTAATCGTACCGCCCATGAGAATCTAACCCATTCTATTTAGCCCTTTATTTCGTAAAATCGCCTTCTTGACCAGAGTCGCTACCCTGTTCACTATAATTATTTAATCACACCACCTTTAGTCCAATAGTATGAACGTACTAATGCCTTCGCTTCAGGTTGTCGATGATGGATTAGTTTGCGTGATCATTTTGTGCAAGCAATCACTAATGGCACTCTCTGTCAGCACTCACACGGGTCACGTTAGTGATCGAAACCACGTACATGGCGATTCATCGGCAAGGCTCTCTACACCTTGGTACTTTGCGCAGAGTATAAAGTTGTACCTTTGCTCTTTTCAATGTGTTTTTTTTATCCACTCCCTATTCGTGGCAGGCTTTGTGTTTAGTTTCGTTGAAATGTCAGTCTCCCACCACGGTACCAAAATAACATCGTTTTAATCTGGCATTCGCCACATGCATGTCTTGGGTAGCGATGTTTTTTGTCTTTAATTGTGCCTTAGGTCGAACTCGATGTTTATGTCTGTGGCAATTCCTGTGGCTCGAAATGATAAGCGCTGACAAAAAACCAGACGTAAATCTACTAACTCCGAAAACTCACGGCGAACCCTGATGTTACTCGCACAACTCATCATCTTTTGTAGGATTCTGTGTTTCTTCGTCTCCTTTTTTTCAAGATCTCTTAACTATTTACGTGGTGGTGACTGCGTTCCGTTTGGGTCTGATGCCATCCAGCCTTGGTTAGGTGTGAGAAACATGTTTTTTTTCAGATTCACGTGGATTGTGAAATGCACAGGTTATTAATCACGCAAATAGGAAGTCAGAATAAACTATCCGTCAAACTCGTGAGAAGTTACCAGGTCACGGTACTGGTGCTATCAGTGGTTGGTGGTAGTTGAATTTCCCCTTTTTCCACCAAGCAGTAATTCTGTGCTCCCTTAGTAAACCTTCTAGGTTACTACTCTTCAGGTCAAAATTGTTGATTTCATGTCGAGTGCTATGTGCTGTTGCCTTGCAAGGGCATCATCAGCCTTGTTTCGAATGAATTTTAGCGTTGAAGAGAGATTTGCCCTGAGTACCCGACCGACAGGATTACCCTAGAGGCGGGTCGTCGTTTCTGGGCTAATCGATGGCAGGATTCTAACGCATGGCCTGCGTACTCGTAACTAGGCGCGCTTGGCAAGTGAGTGAGCGCAGCGCAGTAGGCACAATTGGCAGGTGGCGTGCAGTCTGCTTGAAAGACGACGACGACGACGATAAAGTGGAGGGTGAGGACATTAAGAGCTCAATTTAACGGCCAGAGGTGGGGCCGATTCTGCGTCGCTGCTTGTTAAGTCGACGAGACGCACTCTTGTCTGCGCCTGCTTCACCATATGCCGTGCCGATAGACAAGCGTCGCGCAGTGGGGATTAGTGCTGTTAAATCGAGGTCCCACCGCACTGACCCTCTTCTTGTCACCACCTTTCACGTAGACTGCTACACGCCACCCACAAACCTAGCCTGTTGAGTCGCGCTCACTTGCCAAGTGCGTGTAGTCGCATCTCTATAGGCCGCGCGTTAAACAAATCCTGTTAGCCTAGTGTCTAGGATAAATCCATCTTTAATTTACTTTAAACCCAAATCCTTTGTCACAGAATTAGTGATCCTCTCCTAAGCCTTTTTCGCATTTAGGCTGTTCTTTCTAGAAGAAAACGGCCATCAGTTTTCTGTCTCGACAAGAGTTCACTAGAACTACCCTCTCAGTGAATACCTTTTGCGCCAACCGATTTGCTAACCTAATTAATTCCTTTATCGAAACGTCTACTCCTTATTTCTTTGTGTTTTACACAGCAGCCAACTGCTACTAGAAATCTGGTTTTGAGATAATCCGGGGAAACAGTTACCGCCCTAAGATGTCAAAACGAGTCAAGAAGTTGGGCCACAGAAAGCTCAAAAATGCATCATCTGAACCCAGTGTCCGTGACCTCATTTTCGATTTCGACATTTGATGTCGATATCTATTGAACCGTGACTTTCGAGAATTGCAATTTCGGTCACAATCATTTCAACTAAATTTGTGATAACTAAAAGTCGAGCTATTTATTCGTGGTCTTGTGTTTTTCAGGCTTAATGTTTTCCGTGAATCTGTTTTCGCTTAGCTCTAGTGTCGCGAATAAGGTGGCTAGTGTCAGTAGAGTCGTGTAATGGATTATCTGAAGACATGAGCCTGAATATGCAAATTTGATTACGACTACTGATCTCACCTTTCAATTACCTACGACACCAAAACTACAATGGGAAAAATATGGCTACGTTTTCAATTCAGTAGTGTCAGTGTTACCCAAATTGAATCGGTTTTGTTGTTTACTATTATGCGCATGCTGACCAGGAATGAGAGGAAGGGCCGAAGTAGGTAAAGCTTCAGCCCCAAAAGCCTGTTTTTGCGTATGTGGCGTTTCGTCTGAATGTCACATGCGGTGGCAGTCAGATCAGTCGATGGAATAAAAACACATGTCTCCTTCGAATCCGCAGCACCTGTCTGCATTTGTGTGAACGAAACTTCACAGCAAAACTGTAGTCCTGAATGTAAACTAAATTTCACTAATTGCGAACAGCAACTCAAAAGAAACAGTGACTTCAGTGATCGAAGACAACGTAGACATTTGTCAGAGCTTCTAGTCTGTACTTTCCCTTCGCGAATGTCATCTCTCACTAGAAAATTGAAGCTTGTCTGACCACAAGCTTCAATTTTTTGTACCGTCAACTGGACTTCGTCATGTTGGCAAATCCGCCATCGTCAGCTCATTTTGCCGATCGATAATCACGAACGTTATTCATTGGTCAAGATTTGATTGTTCGTAAGTTCGGTTGTAGACGTCGGCGCTTTCACAACTTTTCGCCTGGTTATGTCGTCTTTTTTACATCGTCTTTGTTAGGCACTTCAATAGCACTGCATTCCACAACTCACGCGAGGTTAATGGTGCAGGACTTAATGGCAGTAAAAGTCACGTGCACATTAATTCACCCACTTACCAGGATCGTGAGGGCAGACTATTCATGGCATTGAGCTTTCTCTTTTAGAACTTGGCCGCCACGCGTTCCTACGACAACCTCGAAATCTCTGTATTCGATGCCCTGCAGTATCGGCGCGAGGTTTGTTGACAGTTTCCTGTTGCTACAAAGAGCTAATTTATTTGCTTTTTTCATGCTGAGGCATGCATTCGCTGTCTTTTAACTACTATTTACGCCCACGATCACCTCACGGTGATCGTGTTTCAGCTTCTAAATACCCACCAGGTACTCGAATGGGCTCTTGAGGTTTGTGAACTGCACATCACTAATTTGAGACTGCCTATTTTGTGTGTCGTGAACTGTCTATTCTGGTGTAAATGCTCGTCTTTCTAAGCTTGTGTAAAAGGTAAATCAGACGTAGAAGTTAGGCTTCTTCTAATATTTGTATTCGTGGTTTATTTTGTTACCTCAGTTAGTTGATTCAACCGAGGAAGTCCTCAATTTCGATCTGAGTGTTGCACAAATTATTACAAACAGTTCATTCGTTCGTCTTTACCACACACTTTATTTTCCGGCAAACCCACTTGCTTCGGACAGTAAAAGTTAGCCATAAATCACCTTAATGCCCCAGGGTGTCCACTTCGTTCCTAAAATTCTTGGTATTCTCCCCTTTTACCAACGCTCGCTCATGCTGTGATTTTTTCACGTCTTCCTGTAAACGCCCATTCAGCCCCTTTTCTCGTGTCTGTGTGCGTGCGTGCGTGTGCTGATGCTTTTCAGAAAGCCAGTGTCAGCTTCCTCATGCTAATTGAGTCCTGGATTAAACGTTTAACTGTTTAGAACCGGGTTGTCTTTAGTCATAGAAGTCGTTTTGTCGTATTGTGTTATACCAACTGCTTGGTAGAAATTGCACCTAATTTGTACTGCTTTTTGACATGTGGGTAATCGCTGTAGTAACTGCAGCGTAAGTCTGAACTAAAAAGAGGCGGAATTAGAAATGTGGTACGTTAAAAACTCTAGAAGATTGTAGTCAGGCAGAAGTAGCGTTGAAAAAAACATCAGCTTCCTCTGCCGAAGCGGAAACGTGGTACTCTTCCTTTTACTTCCGCGATTAACGTAAGTCAGTACAAGAATTTTAATTAGAGCGCAATGTGACTTTTCGCAACTACACGTAATGGTGCTTCCTCGATATCGTAATCTACAGCATGTCGTTATTATTTTTTTACTCTGTTTTTTTTGCAGAAGTTCTCGGGCGTCGCCACCTGCACACTCGCAAACACTTTGAAAGAAATAATCGATACAATTGTTGACGCAGGGGTGAGTTTGTAGCGCTTATTCCACTTTCCCTGTTTTTTTTCTAACAACTAGTTCACGCATTTTAAAAACAACACCCCTGTATTTGTTTACCTTTTGTTGTTAATTGTGGCTGCTACTTTACAAAATACTGTGAATTTAAAAAAAAGGTCTGAAAATGATTGGTCAGATCTTAGTTGTCCCTCTCTTGTATGAATGAACCTTCCTCCCGTATGTCTTGCGCCATTCAACTTTGAAGGAATGGGCATTTTGAATCATCAGAAAGTATCTGTGGTCTTACACGACGAATAGAAATGCCGCTGGAACTCGAGCGAATAAACATTCTCATGGTCCACGCTTCCCAATTATGCTTTTTTGATGTCTGGTCCAGACCTGCCGAAGTGCTTCCCTTCGATCAGCATCCAACCTTCCAACTCGTAATAATGAAACCCCCTAATCATGCGCGTTCATTGCACAGAATTTTCCGTTACTTGAAGACTGCTTGTTGAACTGCGAATACGGGGCTTTCACAAACCTCTTCCTTTCTTCATACTGTCTTGTGAAGTGACCAATGGCAGTCGGGCGCGTGTTCCTCTCTGCCCAACTCGGTTCCCACCAACCCAATACCCGCCTCGTTGTTTGTCCAAGTGTCCTGTTGCTGACCGCCATCGTATAGCGCGGACTCACAGCATCTTATTCACGCACACGTCGGATTCATTCTAATGTTTTTAAGGTCAACGCGTCAATTTATTGTCATCATGATGTCACTGTTAGCTTGGCTTGTTCGCCAACCTCTGTGTTAAACCCTGGTTCCACAAGTTGCACTTCTGGGCTCCTAGTTTGAATTTCGCAAGTCTCTTTGTTTATTTGGTGTTTCCTTGTTTTTTTTTCAGGTCCATCGACTAGTCGTGGTGGATGAGGCTCGACACGTTCTTGGAATTGTCTCCCTTTCCGACATTCTCCGTTTCCTCATTCAAAAGCATTCTAGCGAATGAACAGGCTTAACAGCGGGGTAGTTGAAAGGACCATCTGCAAACACCGATTACGGCCTTGCGTTGCATCCTCTCCCATCTGTACAGTCCGTTCCCCCTCCTCCCCCTCCTCCCCCTCCTCCTCCTCCTAGCGTTGCACACCTACATATGTTAAATTACCTGACTCCTCACTCTCTCTATTTTGCTCTAGTTTCCTCCCGTGCAGTCAGTGCTCATTGTCTCGCCTCGTTCACTTCAAGTTGCTCTTGCTCTTCCCATTACGCGTCCCATAAAAATTGCAATGCTCATGCCACCGTTTTCGACCTTCTAATGTCCGTTTTAGAGTGGGCTTTTGTCATATGTTCGTCACTCGATTCCTCTCTCACGTTTTTTCTCAACCTTCTAATCTGATGTAACTCAGGGTGCATATCACTGATCTCGAAACGCCTTGAATCAAATCTTCTTCATTCTCTGTAATACACGCAGTTGTCGTGGCGTTAGTTTGTTTGTGTTAAATTTTGTAATCGATAACTGCCAGCTGAAAACAAGTTGTACCATTTAACCCTGAAATGTGTCAGCGATTGAGGCTCACTGTGCGTGTTGCCTCGCAGAGTGAAAGCAAATTTCCTTTATGTGATTTCAAAATGGTAGCCTTTACCTAGACGAGTAGTCATTGTATAGAGAGTTAATGTGATTTTCATGGCCGGTACCTGGTAGTTGTCGTGTTCTCCCACGTGATTTGTTTTGGGAACGGCGGTCTTGATCTTGGTTCGTTCTTTAGTTAATTTCAATTCATAACGAAAAAAGCTTCAATTTCGTTCAAGTGACGTGTGTGAAAGTAAATTTTACCGCAACAAGAGAAAGGTTTTTCGGATTAACAAACCATCTACCAAATAGTCCATTTAAAACCATCCATCCTAACGCTTATTTCGCATCCAATACTAGTCCGGAATTCTGGAATAATGCAAACTTCATCTGATGGGTGGCTGATTTAAGTAGTTCAACTTCACATATATTTTTACGTAATTGGATTCGTCTTGCTTATTCTGAAAAATGCGCGATTGCTTATCAGATCAAAGCGCAGTAAAATATCCATAAGTTTTGCAATAGCAGTTAACAGTGTCATCGGAACCAATTTCTAAGAGATGAATTTATCTGCATGGGATCATAAACGCTTTTACCCTATCTATCTGTTCTAGTATACGTGCTTGACTTAATTGACTACGCCATTACGAGTCGATGCATTCAAATTTGTGGGGGCCTTCTTTTCAGTCTAATTTAAATTTTACTGAGGGTTTTGCACCACAACTTCCTGATTAAACCGCTTAGTTGTGATTGGGGTCCTCCTTTAGCGCATGTGGGTCAGTTGTGTTAAGCATACATCTGCACTGAATCGTGTTGATTCACGTCCATCCCTTCCGGTCTCCGCATACTCCCACACACCGCCTCCACACTTCGTCACTCCGGTTCATCTTCAACCCCCACTACCCGTTTCGCCCACCTAACCATTCTGTGCCTAAACTGGTTCATCCAAACTATTGGTCAACAACCACATTGGTCATGAACGACTTTGAGTGTCTGTACACGACAGCACAACTTCGTTGAAGCATCAAAGTAATGCTTTTCTATCCCCTCCGTTAAATCAAGCTTTTTGTGGAAGATTTCTAAATCATTCAGAGCTTTTCTTTCAAATGGGTCTTATCGTCAACTCCTGAGTTCTCGAAGTCAGCTTGAACCTGTTCGGAAAACTTTTGACCAGGAGCAAAGGTCTGAACTGGGTGGACGGCCAACCGCCACAAACACTGCAAGCCCTGACAGGCGCAGGCAGTTGTGCTTGTAAATTGTTTCATCGAAAAAATTGATCACCACAGAATGTGCCGTCGTTGTCGTCACTATTATTCGAGAGACGCTTTTGGAGAAGCCAACATTTCCCTCCAATAGTGCATTCCATTTGATCACCCCTTTTCTAAGGCCTCCATCTGTGCTGATCTCTCCTGATCTGTAGGACAAAAATCACCCAATGCATGTACATTCAGGCCATTATGAGATGTCGCTCGGCCATCGGTTGAAACAGCGTAAACTCTGCTAGAGGTCATATCTTTGTTCCAGTTTAGGGAGATGACGACCGCCCTGTGTCCTTGACCCTAGTGGTCACTTCTGGTCAAGGGTTTCGCTTAATTGCAATCTGGAGATGGCTGTTTTCCGATAAACGTTGGTCGCCGTACATTCACGAGCTGATCGATTGTGGATTTCATTTGACATTCGAGATGCACTCATGAGCTGTGCTAAGACTTGGGTGGTCAAATGTAAATAAGGCGTTATGTTCTCTATCATCTGTCTTGCCTTTCTTCTCGGGCTGTTACTGACTGTCGACTAGCAGGGTTGTAAGGTAGCGCCAACCGAGCCGCAACACATCACAGGAAGTCCTCTCTGGCGACCGGAGAACTTGGTTAATGCTTATCATACCACGTGATGATATACCATTCCATTGCACAAAACGTTAGTGTGGTAAATAAAGTGGACACCTTAGTGCTCAGTGATTTGATTGATTCCCCTGTTCTATAAAACTGTCCCATTTTCCGTTAGGTCACGTACAGTGAAATGAGGAAGTCCTTTTGTGATGGTTTTGCATACAGAGACACCCGTCATCCAAGTTCACGTTTATTTTCGTAGTTTCCTGCCAGACCGCAAAGAGAATCACGCACATAGCCTGACCTTTATTCCGATCCCAGGGCATCATATCAACAAAAACGACGGAATCTGCATATCATCAAGTTACTTCATATTTTCAGATGTTTGCAAGATGTTTAAAGGTTAACCAAAACGCAATGATAGCGACATTGTGAAGGAAATAAGACAAGGCGGGAGAATTTGATGACATCGAGTGGGAGGAAATTCGAAGAACCAAAAGTGAGTGTTAGGAAGGGGTCGGGGAGGGAGAGGACTTTCATTAACATCCACAGCCAGATTTGATGCGCGTTGGCGATCGTAAGGGATGGGGCGGCGCAGGATGAGGCATCGGCGGGAAAGGGGCAGCTCTTGATTACGTTGGTCGCACGACACCGCCTCCACCACCCCCCTGAATGGCGGCAGGTGGTGCGTGACCAGCACGAATGGGCTTGGCGATCATTGCTGAGGCAAGTCCGCTGCGACCGACTTGTCTGCGACGAACGGCCTCCTTGATGCGGTCCACCTCATGTTGGTACCGCTTCCTGTCCCGCATCGCGCCTTCCTTAGCTTCTTTCAGAGACATCTCCAGGTTTCGCACGCGCTCAACCGTCGACTAAAGTGGAATTTCGCCACGTGAGTTAGAAAAAATGGTTGCAAGCGCAGGGAATTTAGACAGATTTACAAACGCTAACGGAAACTGATTACATTTCTAAATGAAACGTCAATGTCATGCGAATCCTTTTCCAAATCGATTTGAGTTTCCAAAAGATGAATGATATGAATGTTAGTGTTTCCAAGTTAACGAAATTATGGCATTGAGGTCGAGACGAAGGTGTATAATGAACACAAAAATAGGAATACGAAGGTATTTAAATAAACATTTTTGTAAAAAAAGAACCCTTTAGGGGCAAATGAGAAAGATTTAATGATTCCGGATCACGTATGTTAACGCTATCTGCAAAAATTTCGCACTGACTTTTAATTTTTGCGAAAACAAGAATGTATGGGCAAAGCGCTTCTTCGGTGCTGTGCAACAGAAACGAGCGATCATACATTTTTGTGAAACCACGCACAGGGCTAAATGTTTCACATAAATGGACATACTTTTGGAGCCTCTGTGGAAAGAAGTTATGAACCATTTGAGGGTGGAACGCGGCACTCAATCTGCAGGCCAACTGCGGCCTTTTCTTATGGACAGGAAAATCGGCAAAGCACTGAGAGATAGAATCAACAGTTTTACGTGACCTGCTTCCGACTCCTCCAAATGGGTTAATTTTTCTGGAATTTAAAACCGCTTTTCGATCGTCCAGGACATGCTTTGCTGTATGTCACCAAATGAGATGAATAACGCGCTTCTAGTGTGCTCGAGTGCAAATAGAGGGATGTGTTTACCAGGCCGGTATCGGTCAATTGACATTGCAACCAGCTATTAACTTTTAAACCAATCAGTGACGCACAGGGAGTTATTGCCCACCAGTTTACCCGTACGTCACACCTCCACGACCGTGCCTGGCACACTTCATCAACAGTTTTTTGTTCTACGAACCACTGAAACCACATACAGCAGTCTTATCTAAAGCAGCAGCAGCAGCAGTTTCGCATACATGCAGTGTTTTTTTGAAAATTTGTGAATAAGTACTTTCAATTCGTGGGCTAACACGACATAAAAAAGCCGGGAGGACGTGACACTTGCCCGAAGTCTCTTTTCCAGCTTCGGTAGCTCCAAACGAAGTTCAGCATTGTCATGGAGGAGCTGCTTGTGCACCATAGTCAACTTGGCCAGATTGTTCTCGAGGAAGGAGATCTTCTCGCGCTGTGCAAGCGAGCCCCACTGGTTGGACTCGTCTTCCTCCTCCTCGCCGCCGAGGAGCTCTTTCAGCCCCGCAGCACCGGCGTTCTGGCCCTGTTGCTGGTTGGCAGCGCTTTCAGCAGCTGCGGCCGCGTTTATACGGCCGACAGACTAGGAACAAACAAAAGAGCTGTGTTTAGTCGCGAATAAGCTGTTGTGGGCCACAGCGTGTGGTCTTGAACCACGCCGGGGCCACAGGATTAACCCTGGCCTGATTACTTTTCCCGAATACCCGCGATGAAGAAAAAGATAGGAGAGGACGTAGACACAACCGTTCACTTCAGAGGTCAACCATGTTGGTGTCGTTGTGTCGTGTGTGGGGTTTGCGCGTGTGTATTTATACCTCGGATATGTGAGTCACACATGCGCTAACATCGAGACCTAGATGTGGCGATACTCCAAGATAAATATTCGGGCTAATGAAGGGGGAGTTGAGGATCTGCGCGGCTGGCGATATGCTGCAAAAAGGGAAACCCTGTGTCGGAGGTGGAGCGACCGGATTAAGGAGTGTGAATAAACACGATTCACAACAAAGAAAAAAACTGCCCACAAGTTGCAACGATGCACATGTACTGGGTCCCAGTCATCTCACAGTCAAGATGCGTAATGCGAAGTGACCAGTAAACCGACCAACGGTATTGCGAATTCAAGATGTGCCACGAAGTACAAGGCAAGTTTTGGATAACCGTTTTTACAACCAACGATACCACACCTTTTGGAAAATGTGTACTGTACTATTTGATTAGGGATGATAACCCTGGCGCTGAAAAAGCACCCTGGGCCACCACACCTCCGAGTGGTTAAACAGAACAACAACTGCGTCAAATTCCCACCTTTTTCACCCTGTTCTTCAGATCCTGTACGAAGAGACGGCGAAGTGTGGCGAGAGTGTTGAACTCCTTGACCATGGTCTCTTCGAGGGCACGTAGATCCTGCTTCGACTGCTCTCGCCGAGTCTCCTCCTTTTCAAGGGCCTCCAAACGGCTTGTTGTGGCTTCCAGCTGCTTCCTCAGTGTGGCACTTTCCTCGGACGACTTTTCATATTGCAACTTGACATGATTCAATTCACTAGAGAATAGAAATGAGACGGAAACCACTCCACTGTGGCACAGGCCAAATACGTCGGGAGAAATATTCACATGATTTAATTTTAAACCTGAGGGAACTAACTTGGAACGACAACGAACCTACACAACACAGATTCAAGATCGTTTAGTAAAAGACCTAACTGGCATGATTGAAGACGAAATAAATCAAGTTAATGATAGAGATGGTGATTCAGATTACCTGAAACAAATTAGTTCGAGGAAAGACAAGGAACGCCTGAGGAGTTAGGCGGTTTAGTGTCGATTATCGGAAAACAACTTGAGGTACAACGAATGGACTGTATTATTGGTTTAGGCTGGTGTATAATTATTGGTTGCTGGGACAACAAATGTGCGTGTGAAGTGCACACAGTAGTTAGTGCCAATGGTGTACGGAACAACCATGTTGAAAGCAAAATATTTGTGGTTATGTGACGTGAAGGGATATATCCACATTCTAACTCTGACAAACAGCATACGAAGTGTATTCTACGTAACGCCCTAAACTAATAACGCCTGTTTTGGGCAAGACCAGGTTGCGAATGGTAGTGGCGAGGTTGGAAACACCTACTCTTTAAGTTCTTCGGATTTCTTATCCTTGGACTCCAGTTCATCACGCAACTGCTTGACTTGCTGCGCATATTGTTCACTCTGACGTTTAAACTCTTCGTCCAACTTTACACGAATTTCAGACTGCCCTGCGAGGATCTCCTTATTGGTTGAACCGGCCCCAGCCAATAGCTGTTCGTTGGCACGCAGTTTGGCAACGTCGGCATTCAGATTATCGACCATATCTTGCAGCTGCCGTTTGCGGGAATCCGAATCATCCACTTTGTCTGTAAGACTTTGCACTTTCGCTTCGAGCTAAAACGAAAACAAACCTCAACAGCAATGTTTCTTTTGAATGAAATTGTTTAAGAAAATCATACTGATAATTAAGTAGACTTGGGAGACGACAAGTCAGTAAAAATTATGAGCGCATCCACGAAACCACTGTGGTGCACCAAGGAAGAGAGGGATGACATGCGAAAACAGATGGGAAATCAAATTACCTCTCGGACTCGGATGGCGTACTCCTTAGACTCATCCTCCGATTTCCTCAAAAGCTGCACATTCTGCACTCGCTCTTCCTCGAGCTGGTTCACCCGTGAGTGCAGCATCTTGGCCTCAGTTTTCATTTTGTTCATGTACAGACGCATAACCGTCACATCTTCGTCAAGTCGTTCACCGGTACCCGTATTCGGCTTCTGAAATAATAAAGGGGGTAGGGTTGACAAATTGCAGCTTGGGTCGTTACGACTAGGATGGTTGGGAATAAAGCTAGAGAAAAGTTTAGTAGACGTTTCAAAGAGAGGTTGATAACTAGATATTAGAGCTATGGAATGAGCATCAATAATTAAATAAAGTTCAACAAGCTAAAAACGGCTTTGAATTTTGAACAAAGCCCATTTGTCACATCGCAAATTCAAACATCTAAATGCATATCAGACACTGGTACAACATACAACGCATGACTGACATCGACGCATGACAAATTAGCGATAATGAAAGCAGTGTTAAGGTTAGTATATTTGCCAGTTGGCCACAGTATGGAAGAGTGGCCAGCTATCAAAACAGTTAATTGACTTGCCTGAAGCTGACTGCTCATACATTCACCGATATCGAGAACATCGCGAATGAGAGTGCCGACGATTTCAGCGTACTTCTTGCGCTGGGCGGCCAGCGTGTCACGAGCCAACTGAACCTCGCTTTCCTTACCGTTTATAAGGAGGGACTTCTGTGCTAGGTGCTCTTTGATCTCCTCAATTTCCCGGTCACGTGCTGCAAGCTCGGCGTCGCGTTGGTCATGGGATAAAGCCAGCTCCTCCAGTGCCTGCAAGATATCCTTCGCTTCCTCCTTGCTTGACTGGCACTCGGCCTGGAAGTTCAAAACGATACTGCCAAAGAGCGGTTGGAGTGTAATTTGAAAGGCTATGGCGCCGAAACTGTGAAATCCTCTTCGCTCCAAGCAACAAGGCTTTTTAACCAACATTGGTGAACTTGATTATTTAGCGACTGAGTACAATAAGTTGGGGCAAAATCGGCTTAAAATGGCTATAATCCCTCAGCAGAAAAGATTTTGACTCTAAACAATGCACGAATTCGGGATTACATAGAGCACTACTTTTAAGTCGAAAATCGTCGAAGGCATAAATGCAAGGCACCCGAAACCGATTTATTAGTCTGAAAAGCAATTAGTTAGGTAAGTTAATATAACTGACACACTATGACAGTGACCCGAATATTTAGCGGGATAGGCATTGAATGTATGATTTTGGTCGTGGGTGTTTGGACTTTATTCAACCCAACTGCATAGTCCAGTTATGCATTTAAAAACGCGCACAGAAATCCATTCCCCACCGAGCCCAATAGATCCAAAGTTAAGTCACGACCAACTTTATCCAACCGCGCACGCAAGCGCATCCCGTTACTAACATTGTCGATCGTCATGACAACGCAAGGCTACGCAGAGAACAGCAGTGATGTGTGCCCACACTTACGCATAGTCACCGTTTCGTACAGTGGGGCTTAGAAAAATACACAGGATCCACAGGAATCCGGTGTACACTTTCACTTGAAAGACTCGGTGGTAGGAGAACATGTGAACACTATAATCAGGGAGTCGTGGTAAATACGTTTTACGGTTGTGGATCCTTACATTAGAAGGGGCGGTATTAAAGATTTATCAAAAGAAAGGCAGGCAAATCGCGGAGAACGGCAGCGCAATTGGTAGACTTTGGTTTACAGTCATTACCTTATACGAAACGAACTTGGACTAAGGATTGTGGAACCGCAAGGCAGGTCCGAACGCGAACTACTAAAATTGACAGCAGTACCAGTGAATTTCATGTGCATCGTATGTGTTCGACAATCAGTTACTGTCCATAAGTTCAGAGAGCACCGCACAGGAAAGGCATTGAAAAAAAGTGGCCAACAAACCACATAGGATATTAAAATGAGCTTCATGGTGCAAGGACCATCTTGTAACAGATGTAGTTTGACCTGAATGGATACATGTGATAAGTCGTCAAAATATACGGAGGAAGACCAAATTGACAGACCCTAGCAACGAAATAACTTAACTTATAGCGGATGGAGGAATAGCTGTATAAATAGCAAATTTATACAGGAAAACAGAGCAACTGCAATGTAACAGCTTTGCATCTCAACATGGGATAAACAACAACAAAGAACCAGACGCGCAAAAGGGCTCAATAAATAGAAATAAGAGAGGCTTCTTTTTAAAGGATAGCATGAATGGGAAGCGAAGGACTCACACAGTTAGGCTAGGCCCAAAAAAACCAAGAAACTTGAAGTTACTGATGTATAATGAAGCATGACTAGCCAGACACCGCTTGACTACCTGCAGCTGAGCCACGTCAGCAAGACTGGTCTCAGCTTCCATGCGGGCCGTCCGAAGCATCTCCTCCTGCTCCTCCAGCTGCAGGCGCAAACGGGCGATTGTTTGAGTGTGTTTGTTGATGTCGTCGTCTTTGTCGTCGAGCTGCTGATAGAGGGCGTGCAGCTGCTCTTCACTCACTCCCAAAACGCCACCGCCACCAGCTAGGATAGCAAAGGGTAAATGAGACTTGTGCGTTGGAACTTCACGTGCCATCAAACCCCGAGGAAGGATAGCAGTTCATTGCTTCTAGACTTAGGTCTTTCCAAAAATGAATATGGAGAAATTTTACCTGTTTTTGGGATCTCCGCTTAAGTAAAATCTCCCCAAATTCAGACCAAAACCACAATGGCCATTAATATGAAAGATGAACAACTAGACAGTGACCCACTATTAGAAAAACTCATAGAGGCAAAATTTTGGACATGGGACCTGCTTGGAGCTATTCGATTGGTCAAACGCTCCGCAAATAGATTATGCCAACCTTGGTTTTTCAATAACATATATTACTTTCTGGTGGCGTCAGCTTGGAGGCAAATCAGTGCAGACAAAACAATGCATTAAAACCTATCTTCTACTGTTTGGAGGTGGGAATACGTTCACGTGGACTGAGAATTTGAGTAGACGACGAGACCGCTGTTTTGGACACTGAATTATAAGAATGAAATTATCCATCGTACCAGGCACTGCGGTGAAAGGCACAGTCGAATCACTAGGCCTGCTAGTGGGTGTATTGCATGACGTAGGCACGGTCGTTGAAGGTAGTGAAGGCACACCGGAAGGAGTAGCCGATGAGACGGTGTCTGATGCCTCCTCTTCGAGTTCAAGTTCCATTGCAACCACCCAGTCAGTTGAGCTCACAGTTTCGCCTTTAAAAAAAAAGAAACTGGGATTAAATTGAGTATCTACTTTCAAATTATTACTATTTAGTCATGCATGGGTGAGTCGACAAACACGATGCATGATGCCAGTACCTGATGCGTGTTGTTTATCCCTGGAGGAAAGCACCAACACAGATCCAATTTGTATCAACAGAAGAGCTTTAAACTATTGGATAGTGGCACATTACACCCAACATCACAAAGGTTTCCCCAGCTCACTTGCCTTAGCTTTGTTTCGTGATAGAAAGACTATTTGGTTAAAATTGCCATCGATTTCGTCGAAATGCATTCTCGTTAAATCATCCTTTGCTCACAAAACTATGCGAACCCACTCTTGTGTAACAGGGTGAATCTTGAATAAAAACTAAGATGACGCAATTAATTGGAAGCAATAAAGTTCAGTCTAGTGAGATATTACGGTGTAGTTCGAAATTTATTGTTTTATACATAAAAAAAAGAAGGAAAAAGAATGTAATGTAACGCAATGTATGTAATGTCATATGCAAGAAATATGTAAAAAAAATGGGCAAAACACCTACTGGCGAGATATTTAATGTGCAAATCCTCTAAAAGGACCTTCTGGAATAATGAGCTCAGAACAAGGCAGCTTGTGATTAAATAAGATCGATCAATATTTTTAAGAAACAAGAAATCATGAGAGTCCATGCTAAGACAACATGGTAGTAGTTAGTTAACTCAGCCAAACTTGACACCCCATTACCACATAAGCAATTGACGGTCTCAGTGGAGAAGCCCACATTCGGGATTTGAGTAGTGGTGTGTCGATCAGATGACACTTGGTAAAAATTTAACACTACCAAAGATTGGCATGGCGAAGAAACGGATGTAGATAAGATTGCGTGCCCTTGTGGTTTTCCAGCTCGCCATTTCGAGCATTGTGTGTTGAAAAGTCCCAAGATTATCACGAGGCAGGAATGTCCATTTAAAATTATAAAAGAGCTACATTTTGGATTGCCATTGGGTACAGTTAACCACCAGTTTCAGGATGCGAAGTGGCAGCCTCAACACTGGGGGATTCGCCGATGTTATAAAACCAGTTTCCTAAATGACAACGTACCTTATGCGCTGCTGCGCCTAAGACCGCTCCTACTCATACATCGAACTACGTAGGCACTAAATCGGCGCTATACGATGGCGATCTCGACAACTCGAGAACCTGAAGTCAAGTTCACATGGTTTCCTCAAAATGGCTTTGATATCAATGTAAAATAAGTGTTTTTTTGAGTTCGAAAGAGTTTTTGAAGTCAAGTGATTTAGCGTTTTTCAAGGGCAAAACGCATTGCTGTTCGTCGCACATGATTAGAGAAAGTAAAATTTTCCCCGAACTTTCATTAACTTCCAAAATATCACAAATTGAATTCCACCTCTTCTCACTAGATTGCGACAAAACATAGGCATGGGAGAATGTTAGACTATAAGAGGTTTACACTGACCTATTTTGAGAGACTTACCAGGTATCATACGACGAATAAACAAGGAAACAAGTGGCACTATTTAAGAGCTGGTTGAAATTTGGGGCTGGATAATTTCTATTAATCAGGTCTTTTGATTTATAGCACAATTGCATGATGAAATACACTCACACAGTAACAAATTACCTAGTAGATGCGAAGACCTCTTTAGCCGTATGCATTTAAAAACGCTTTCCGGTGCCACAAATGCCCTACTAATATATTGATTTGATTAAACCTGGCTACTTGGAGGAATATTCAACCTCCACTAAAAAGCATGATGAGAAGAAAAATTGGATTAAAATTTTCAAGAACATCTCGTCTAACAGTCTAGCTGAATCATAACCGATGGTTTCGCGTGTCCATTGCATACAATCCCATACAACCGAGTTATTTGGGTGACTTGGGTAACGGACTTTCAGTGTAACGGATAGGAGACAATATCTGCTTTTCTACGACAAAACAAACGGAAACAATAACAATGTGAAGACGTTTCCTGCAGAGATCATGTAAATACTAAGTAAATACGTCAGCGGGATCACATCATGCCAATGTAAAACCGTAAATATCCCAATTACGAGGTTAGTTTTAAACACGCAAGATAACATGCCTGCTCTCCACCGCTTAAGCTCAGCCTCCAGACGGGCAATAATTTCTTTCATTCGGCGAGCTTTTGCCTGAAGCCGCTCGTATCGTCGGCGCCATTCATCTGCCGTTAACTCCTCGTTAACAGTGACAATGTTTTTGATAGTCTTAGCGCGCATGCCAAAAAGAAGCGTCGACTTGGTCTCAGATTCGTTGTAGCTTGAAGGCGAAACGCAAATGACCATGGTCGTTTTGGCATTGCCTCCCAAAGACTCTTGAAGGATCCGTGTGAGTTTTGAGTCACGATAAGGGATATGAGCCTACATGAAAACAAGAATTTACCTCCGCAGACAGGTTCCGTTATTTTAGGACAAAAAAATTATGGGAGATTCTTACATGGTTGTCAACTAGTGCATTGATGACGTTACCTAGAGCTGAGAGCGACTTGTTGATATTCATTGCCTCTGTAAGCGTGCTGCCTTCAGCACCAGTTTTAGCCACCTTCTCACTGCCGGCTAAATCAACGAGGTACAACTTGCCATGGAGCTTTTTTTGAGTTTCCAGATTTTCCTGGCGAACCGTAATCATAAAAATCGAATGAGACCGCGAACTGTGTTCATTCATATCTAGACGAAAAAACAAAAAAAAATTAAAGCCAATGTAGTCATCATTTAAAAAAGAATTTTATTTGTAGTCTAAAAAGGCTACAAGTTCATTTTAGCACTTTCCAACTCATCCAAGTAATATTAACAGCAATCACTTACTTGTTACAGAGACGTGACGATTGGCCTTCCCTTCGTCAATGACATCAAACACTTCCTCAGGGGTCGAAACAAACCTTTCCGTCGCACCTTTGACGTAAGGCACCCGATCCTTGTCTTCGTGCACGGATAGGTTGCTTTTAGACACTATATGGCAAATGCTAATTACTGACAGCAAAATACCATCAAGTAAGTCCCGAATTTTGTCCAAGTAGATTTCGAAATACGAAACCTTTATATGGAATTCTAGGTTTTCGTCCATGTTGTATATATGATTAAAAATGTCGTGAACAATTCTTGGAATAATTCCTTGCAAAACTGGGTCACCAAGAACCCCCTAGCGTATGTAAGGGAAAAGAGTTTTCGAACCTCCATTGTGAATGTTTTCCCGCTGGCAGTTTGTCCATAAGCAAAGATAGTTCCATTGTATCCATTAAGAACATCGGCTACGATAGGCTTCGCAACTGTGTTGTAAAGTTCCGCTTGCTGAGCTTTTGGTTGAAAAACATGATCGAATGCGTAAGTTTTGTCCTTTTCCTACAATTCAGGGTTTTGAATATGGCAGATATACACCTTACCAATCGTATAAGGTTACTCGCTTCAGTTGGAAAGCTCACGCAGTAATTATTATCTTTAGCCTTTTCATTTTCATTTAATGGCCTCACACGACAAACGACCTTGATGCTCTCAGCCATTTACAATGCTCAAAAAGAAACCCGTTCACAAACAGCGCCAATGATTAACGTCAATCTAAAGAGACTGTTTACTGACACATTCTAACAGAATATCGTTTGTGGCTTATAATAATAGATGTCACAAACTTGCAAGTTATTTTAGCCAGATTCTTTTTCAAAAACCAAGTTTCTGGTTTCGATTTCCAAACTAATACATGATGTTTGGGTCAATATATGAATTTAATGGAGCAGTTGCTTAATGAGAAAAAGTGCATTAATAATAGTAGCGACAAGAGTAATTCACCTACTGCTCGTTATTAAAAATTCGTTTAGTTCGAAGCTCTAAGAACAGGGTACAGAAACAACTATAGATTTGAGTTATTTAATATAATGTCCTACATATTTTAGAAGTTGTCCTATAAATCCTGATGCTTTCAAATAACACTTTCCTTTTATTGTAAACGAAAGATTTAGAATCAACCATCATAAGTCTAGAACCATGACATTTACATTTTTATTACCGAAACATTAGTCTAAAATCTAGGTTTCAAAGACAATTTTTAATCAGAATGAGAAAACATATGACGTTGAAGAAAAGCATGCATGATTTGTGCGATGTGAGTTATAATTATTTTAGTTCGTATTCCTTTTTTCATTTCATTGGTATAACGGATAATACATATTGATTATTCCCACATACATAAAGACACCTTTGCTTGGCCAGTTGATTAAACGTTTTATCTGTTAATCAGTTGTTCAAGATGCAAATACTAACCTTTCCACTAGCGTTTCTCAACCTGTTCTAGTCACCTGGTGCTGTTAAACTTTTCTTGACTTCTCTACATTTGGTAATCAAAAAATATACGACGTCCAATATTTTGTAACCAACAATCTTTCTAATTGTGTGGGGATCCAGATTCAATTGGCAAACGATTTTTCGTGCTGAAGTCGGTGTCAGTAAGTTAAATGCAAAATTATATGATGCGATCTCAAGACAGATAAGTGAAGAAAAGTTTTAACAGAATGTACTGTGCAAAGGACGAAGACTGAACTTTTTACCGGGTCAGGTTGATCAAATATCTCAAAACTATGTTCCGCAAATAATTTAATGCACATCCTTGATTTATATTGATTGTCAACTTCCTTGATGTGAATTAATACCTAAAAATACACACTTAATGATTTGAAGGTAATGGTTTCTTTAACAAACTGATTATTCATGTCCATCATACTTGTCTGTATTGTAAATTGCTTACTTTTCCAATAGGTGTTATTTAAATCCAAAATTAAATTTGACGAAGACATTCATCAACATCTGACAATTTTTTGAATGATGCACCATGTTAAATCGAACTAACTAAGTTAAACGAGCAAAACCCTGAATTTAGCATGTGAAATACATTTCAATGACCTTTAAGGGTGTTTTAGTTTCCCGATGCTATTAACGACACCGGTAGGCAGCTTCATTGCTCAATTTAATTTTTTTCCTTTTACGAAGACCTGTACTATGCCTTATGCCTCTCATATTTTAGGTTTCGATTAATTTTAAATTTGCTTTGCCCTTAACCTAACCCAATTTGATCATGTAGAAGGGCTTGTTCTATTTTGTTTAATGTAATTAGCTCTTAGAAATTGCAAGTGTCATCCCGTTAATCATATTGTTGTTTATATATACACCTATGGACTCAAGATATTTTGGTGTATTTGTGGAACGTCACCTTCTTGTTTGGTCTGAATATTCGCTAAATTTTACCTTCTTTAATAGAGAAAGCTAAATCTAGGTGTTCCGTGATAGTTTCTCCAACTTAAGCTTTTGTTTACCAGATTATGTTTTCGGAACTACAAGCATATATTTCAGGTTTCCGTGAATAATTGGTTTACATTACCCTCCATCAAAAATGTTTGTTGATTTGGAATGCTTCTGCGACCTAAATTAATTGAAAAATCCTGAGGTAAATAAGATCTGCCCAGTCAAATATCTGGTAACATAAATTTTGTTGCAATTTGTGGTATTATATTGCCTTTTTAACATGATTGGTGTCTAGATACATTGGATATTTGGATTAATTTGCATTTCGTAAATCATGTCATATCCTATATGAACCAGGTAGAATAATTGCTATTCATCTAGGCAGCTAAATGGTTTTGAATTTCAAATCCATAACTAATTAATTTAAATTATGGCACTTGAGAAAGCTGCTAATAACAGTCAGCTAAGGTACTACATTTGAATTTCTTTACAAACTTCATGTTCTTGAAGTCCCATCTGATGGAACATTTATGGAACATTGCAATTTTTCAAGTCCACTTTCTTATTTCTTATAGAGTTGTAATTAGTATATTTTAGTGCATGCTACATGATAACAAATTATGCCACATTGCTTTCTTCAGTTTGTTTTCAGGTAAAAATATTTTTATAATTTTGATTCGACTCTTATGCAGTTCAAGTCTCTATGGCTCATGTTACTAAACCTTTTTTACAATCTCCCAATCCATAAATTCATGACGCTCATTAGTTTTCTTTTGCGCGTCAGAGTACAAAAACGTCATTTACAAATTTAGTTATGTTGACTCCGAGTAAGTCTGGTTGCTTACCTGCTACACGTGAACGAGTTCTAGCCACTGAGAAATAAATTTGAACACACTTAATTCTTAGAACCTTTCATTCTACTTGATAACTTTTGCCTTGATTCCAAAATCAGCCTGGGTGGGGCACCTTTCACGTTTTAGAATTGCCCCCGGTGGCAAGGGAGTGTAAATGGCTAAATGCTTTATCGACCGAAATTTTAAAGTCAAATCTAGGTCAAGCCAGGTGCTCCTGATTTAGTCAAGTGTTATCAGCTGAAAGTTTTCATTTCTACAAGTTTAAAACTTTGAAATTTGCTTATTGAATGCGAATGTAGGAGATAAGTTTGCAGAAAACGACAACGCACTTGAAGTATCTTAGTTTTTTTCAAAACGTCGAACACCAACAAATAGCCAATAGAGATTGGATCTCATTGGAGACGTAATCGGATTTAGGACGCATTTTTTCACCAAAGATGTAATAACAGCTCCACATCATAAATAGTTTAAATATTGTGTTCTGAATAGGATATTTTGCATTTTCGAAAGAATAGTTCCTATTCCAAAAACCCGCCCAAGTCTCATTTTTACTTTTTTCGGCCAAATTAACTTATGGTTACCTGAAAGAAAGTTTGTAAAAGACTATGTGTTCATAATATACACACGTGTTTTTGCATGTTCCATATATTTTCATATACATTAAGTCCGCATTGTGTGTCTTTTTTCGATTTCGGATATCAAAGGTAAGTTTATCAATGTCGACCAGCCCAAAGTCGTCATCTAAGTTATGAAATCCAAGAAAACCTTTGCACTAGCCCATTTCCAAGGGAGTTATTAGAGGTTCAATGCACAATGTACTAACTTTTGTTACTTCCACAATATTTCAGCTAATAGATCTTGCGACACTTTAGCTAAAGTATTTCCTTCCTATTTATTACTCCACTTGCTTCATTTCACTGACGCTAAAATTGAAGATTTTGGTAAATTTACACAGTAGGTCAAACTCTGAGCATTTAAACAATGCTGTTGTGCCGTAAAATGGGTAAAATGAAAGTGTCATACAAAATGGAGACAGTTTGGCCTTAACTATAGATTGGCAAATCATAATTGGCTTACGAAATCAGCTAACGTGGACAACAAGCACTGAGTAAAACATGAGTTATTCTCCGGAAATTGACAGATGTGTCTTTAGCAACTAAGCGTTTTGATTTTTCAGGATTCATCACTGATGAAATAATGCAGTTTACAGATCAAATTTAAATTCCCTTACAGTAAACCTATGTGGCATGACAGCGTATTTACATTACCAAAGTGCTTAATTATAAACCTAATGCAGCCATCCCCGCTAATCACAAAAGGAAAGGCCCACATTCACCAGAGTTTCTTCTTTTAATCGTGTTTAAATTTCTGGTTTATAAAGGGAGTTTAATCAGAACTTTCCGCTGCGTTTAAGAATTCCATTCATTATAACCTTACAGAAGTTACACAACTGATCTCACGAAATTTAGGAAAGTGGCTGGAGCAGAAATGCTTTGGAAAGCTTCTTAAGCTTCTGACAAAACGCATTATCGCCAACATTGAGGACAAAGTTGGCAAAATTTTCATGATTTATCAAACCTCAGATGACGCGAAATTCATTAGAGACATATTCCCCATTTATTTCATAGAGGCATTTATAACAGTCGAAACCAATGTCTTATGACAGTTACAGACAGCTTCTCAATTCGCAATCCAAATGTCTCCTTGAGAATTGGTTTGAAGAGGTTAGATTGTTTTCTCCCATAATGAAATTGTGCAGCGACAAACGAAAGCGATTGACAAAGGTTGGGAGGTTAGAACTGGCCGTACTCATCCGGGTTTGGTAACTACACAATCAAATCCCATCGGATTATACGGCACAACGTACAAATCGCATTTTGCACCAAAGCCGAAAGACAAAGAAACCATTGGTATGAAGTTTGCATTCTTGTTGTGCGAATTTAACGCTTTGAATCGCTTTTGCTAAAATCTTTTTTTAAGGAGCGAGAACAAAAGATATGATGGAGGCCATAAGGCGTGATGTTGCGTAAGTCGCCTATTTTTTCTCTGTCTTATAACAGAGATTTCATTTTAGACTTTAATTAACATATTTTTAGAAGTAGTATGTTATCATAATTCACAGGAAATTAATGTTTTGTGTACAGAGACTAATATAATTTTAGTCATGATAAATAGGAAATGAGTAATTTAACTAATTACTTTATTTTACAAGTCGACAATTTTCATAAATACTGTCATCCGATTTAAACAGCCTAATAATTTGGCGATTCCTCAAACAATTAAATTTAGCACTTCTTACCCCCAAAATCTAAATTAAAATATAAGAGTAAACGCAAAAGTGCCGAGTAGTACAGATAAAACTTACATTAGAATGCTTAAAAAAATTAAACTGAAAAATTACTAAACTACCTAACAGT